AAGATGATAGTGCTGCCTAGAGGGGTCAAAAAATTCCGCACTGGGATTCCATCATTGTATTGTTATCAAATGACCAAAAACAGAAATCTAACAGAGAACTTCAACTTATCTCAAATTGAATTTGGGATCCTCAAGGCGTTGTAATGGTTAGCAAGCTTGTCTATTGATTTCGATGCTCACTGGGTGCCCACCTACTTTCGGCCTTGTGCCACATGTAAGCTACGCTTGGAAAAGGGCGCCTCGAGGTGGAGTAATGATTAGCAAGTTTGACTCGCTAGAACAATTGCGACTGAGTATTGATTTCGATCCTCACTGGGTGCCCCCTACATTCGGCCTTGTGCCACATCTAAGCTACTCTTGGAAAATCACTATTGGGCACCTCAAGGTGGTGTAATGGTTAGCAAGCTTGTCTCGCTAGAACAATTACGACTGAGTAGTGAGTTCGATCCTCACTGGGTGCCTCATACTTTCGGCCTTGTGCCATATCTAAGCTACGCTTGGAAAAGGACGCCTCGAGGTGGAGTAATGACTAGCAAGTGAGACTCACCCAAACAATTACGACTGAGTATTGATTTCGATCCTCACTGGGTGCCCACCTACTTTAGGCCTCGTGCCGCATCTAAACTATGCTTGGAAAATCACTGTATCAACTTGAATATCACGTGGGAACACCGGATCCCGTACTTCGAACGTGGTCAGCCCCTAGGTGGATGACCGCTTGGGTATACCACGTACTGTAAAGTTTTGTGTGCGGGAGGTGTAACGAATAATCACTCGAAATTGTTAAGCGGAGAGCCGAGTTCAAATTCTAGTTGGGTTCGCTATTTTCACTTACGCGCAAATACCCTTGGGAAAGGTATGAATCCACTGTTCCCCCCCCCAGCTAAGGTAAATTAGTAAGTTTTTTTTTTTTTTATCACTAAATCATTATTACCTAAAAAAATAAAATAAAATAAAAGAAACAAACATTTTTTGTCTTCAGATATCTTTCAACGCCGTAGAAAACTTATCAATCAATCAATATACTATATTTTGATCACGATATGACACGTGGTTATTTTAATATGTATTGCTCATTTATACAAACTTACTGTATGGATCAGAAAAAGTTGCACATTATCTGTTCGTCTTAAAAGACGACTGAATGGAAAATAAACAAATCTAATTAGAAAAATCCGGAACATCATCCAAGCAGTTCGCTGCACAATTTTCGAACTCTCTGCCCTAAGGCAGAGATAATCCCTCACGAGATAATGCCAAAGGGCAGAGTCTGTCTGGGGAGGTAGACAAAGCCGATCCAGAGTATGCAGGGTCTACGGGGAATTTTTTTACCCCAGATCACGGGCTCGGAATCGCCCCACGTAAAAACTGGCCTTGTGCCGGATCCTGCCTTGTTGGGAGGTTTGATAAATACTGAACTCTCTTAAGCTCAAACAAAAGCGATTGCACTTTGCCGGCCACTGCCGTCGAGCGGACAGGGAAGTCGTCTCATCTTTACTTCTATGGCATCCTTCTGAAAGTTGACTTTCCCAGAAACCATAGCTCATAGTTGGACATTGGAGATCTGAGGACGGCAATGCAGTCCCAATCAGCGTGGAAAGGGATTGGTAATTCTGACCAAACACAGGAAAGTTGAAGGATGAAGATTATGATCGACTTTACGCATATATATATATATACTACAAAGTCATAACTTTTCCAATCCCAGGAATTTATGTCACATTAGCGTCGATATCAACCAAATCTTTTTTTTTCGGTACAATAAGGGAGATGTTGCCGCCGTTGGAAAAACCAACGAACAAACTTCTCTCATAACTTAGTGAAGAGGTCAAAATTCTGCCTATTACTCCGCAGAGTTAAGATTTGATGCGTTCTCAGTTTAAGTTAGGGTACCCCAAATTAGGGTAATCAAATTATGGTACCCAAACGCAGCACAATTTTCGAACTCTCTGCCTTCAGACAGAGAAAAACCCAGACGAGGCTATGCCAAAAGGTAGAATATCGTCTAGGGAGGTAGACAAACCCGACCCCATGTATGCGGGGTCTACGAGGAATTTTTACCCCAGACCACCAACGAACAAACTTCCCTCATAACTAAGTGAAGAGGTGAAAATTCTGCCTATACCTCAGCAGAGTTGAGACTTGATGCATTTTCAGTTTAAATTAGGGTACCCAAAATTAAGTTACCCAAATTAGATTACCCAAAATCAGGGTACCCAAACGAGTACATATGTGCACCACGAAGTAGTGTAATGGTTAGTTTATCTCGCAAGAACAATTACAACACAGAAGTGAGTTTGATTTTCACTGGGTGCATAATACTTCCGGCTTTGTGGAGGGGCTAATGACAAAAATTGCCCAATAACTGTTACACTGGCATCAACACCCACCAACCCTCACAATTTAGTGTAATGAGAGAAGTGCTGCTGTAGGCGGTAGTCACTGAAGGTAAGCTTCTCTTATAGGGATTCTCTAAGCGTAGCATATATGTGACGTCAGGTCGAAAGTATTGAACATCCATTAGGATCGAACTCATTCATCGTCGTAGTCGTCGTATGCTCGCATCCGGGAATCAAGATCATCATCCACTCTCCCTATTCGCGGTCTCTCCCCTGGTGGTGGTGACGGGGAAGGCTTTGACGAGGACATTCCCGTGAATTTGATTTTGGTAGACAAAGAAGCCCAAACACTTAGCCAGAAGGGCTTCCCTCGCAGCCCAAAGGGAATTGAGACAGAGCGACATCTGGCAAACCTGGTTGCATCTGGCTGTCGGATGCTTGGCCAGTCAAGGTCCATCTTGGTTATGCTAAGATGAACTAGCGCTGCCCTCATCCACAGGTTTGGTCATTGAGTTGGTGTATATCTTTGCCTATTCCGCTGTTAGGATCTTCAGGACTTGATCGAATTCAATGTGGTTACTTCTTCTCCACCATACTTCCACTACTACTACTAATTTATTTAAAGTGAAGCTTACTAACCATTACACTACGGAGAAGTGCCCAGAATAGTGATTTAATTATAATAGCTTAGTCATGACTCAAGACCGTAATTACGGAAAATCCAGTAAGGATCGAACCCAAAATTCAATTCCAATTGATCTACCAAGGCAAGCTTGCTAACCACTACAGCATGACGAAGTGCTCTAATGATATCTGTCTATATTTCTGAGATGAGGTATTATGTACATTATTCGGACTATTTTCCTCATCTTTGTCGCCATATTTATTACAACGTTTCGGCCTTTCAATATCTGTGTATATTTCTGAGATGAGGTATTATGTACATTATTTACATTACTCTGACTATTGTCCTCATCTTTGTTGCCATATTTATTACAACGTTTCGGGCTTTCAGTATCACTCTATATTTCTGAGATGAGGTTTTATGTACAGTATTTACATTATTCGGACTATTGTCCTCATCTTTGTCGCCATATTTATTACAACGTTTCGGGCTTTCAGTATCTGTCTATATTTCTGAGATGAGGTATTATGCACACTATTTACATTATTCCGACTATTTTCCACATCTTTTTCGCCATATTTATTACAACGTTTCGGCCTTTCAATATCTGTCTATATTTCTGAGATGAGGTATTATGTACATTATTTACATTATTCGGACTATTGTCCTCATCTTCGTCGCCACATTTTTTACAACGTTTCGGCTGTTGTACGCTCCGGCCTTCTTCAGGTCGTTGAAATGAGCGAAACAAAGTGTTCAGTTCGACATTCCAACCACCTGAAGAAGGCCGGAGCGTACAACGGCCGAAACGTTGTAATAAATATGACGACGAAGATGAGGCTTTTTTTTTACTGGTTACCCTGTATTTTTTACTGGATACCCTGTATTTTTTTACTGGGTACCCTGTATTGTTTTACTGGGTACCCTGTATGTTTTTTACTACTCTAGTTCAATTATTCCTGAAAGATAAAACAGCGATCATAAATTTACCGCTTTTTTTTTTACTGAGTACCCTGTTTTTTTTTACTGGGTAACCTGTATTTTTTACTGGGTGCCCTGTATTTTTTACTGGGTACCCTGTTTTTTTTTTTACTGGGTACCCTTTTTTTCCTTTTTTTTTACTGTGTTTCCTGTATATTTATTTGTGCATACTGCACTTTGATCGAAGTGAAAAGACAACTGGTCCTCTTAGTTTCATTGGAATTCATGTCTTCTTGAGCAATACCACTTCGTTCGTTTTCGACGAACTGCAAAGAAACCGTTCCTATTCTTTCCCGAACAAAACAGACATGTTCTGTAGACATCGCTGCGTTATTATCCTGGAAGAATTAGAATGGCTTCTTTTAGAGATTGGTAAATTTAATTTACACAGCGAAAGAAGAGTGATTTTAATACTGTCTCTTCTGCGCCCGGCAATATAATAGGAATGGTCATGAGATCTTTAATTCATTTCTGTCGATGCCAATACAAAACTTGACTCCTTTATCAGGCTGGTTTTAGGTCATTCTTTTCAATTATTTAATTTTTCATTTTTATAAAATTCAGAGCTTTTTATTCAGTGTTGCTATCTACAGGGTTTTACGTTTCATAAGTGCTTTCCTTGTCATATAAACGATAAAGAAATGGATAGATATATTTAAATAAACACATTTAGTGGCAATGCAAAATGAAAAGATTTAATATTGCTATATTACCATAATGTAGACTTAGGCCAATATTATGTTGAAACACCGTTCGCGTATGAGCAACGTCGTAACTGGTCAGTATCTAAATGTGTGATCGCTTGCTAATTGATTGATTGATTAATTTTTTCTACTCCTGATCGAATCTTTGCAGTTTATATAAAACCAGAAATTATATTTAGAATGTAAGAATATTTTTCTGAGATAATAATTGTTTATTAATACAATATATTGATACTCATTGCCTGGGTATTTGTTCGTAAGTGAATATAACAAACCCAACTTTAATTACAACTCAGCTCTCCGATTAATAATTCCGAGCCATTATCCATTACACCACGTGCATATTCAAGCCAACAGCACCTTGCTATTCCCAAGCGGTCACCCATCGAGGTACTGAACAGGCTCAACATTGCTTAACTTCGGGATTCTTACTGAAAACGGTGTTTTAACGTGATTTGGCCTTAGGTTAGACAAGGACGAGGGCCAACGATATGATACAGAAGAGAAAAAAACGAAAAATTCCAACAGCACCCTGGTATTTCCAAATGGTCACCCATCTTGGTACTGTCAAGACTCGACGTTGCTTAATTTCTGCGATCGTCCGTTAACAGCTTAGAAATCGTATTAGAGAAAGAATAACATCACAAATGCTGGGAAGTGTGTTACAAGAAGGATCTTATAGAAACACTGAAGTTCGCCATGTTGAGCACTAATTCTTTACAGCATATACAAGAAAGTAAATAAGATTTTTCATATTTAAACTTACTTTCATACTTCCAGTCCTTTTTCGTAATACATTTGAGACACTTTATAAGTTTCCTCCTGTATATTTTCTTGTATTCAGAATTGTTATTTTATTGTCAGTTAATATTTAACAACGTATCCTTCAGCCGAGGTGTTGGTTGAAAAGAATCCTCAGGAAGAATGCTTTGTTGCGTTTTGAAATCTATATATACATTCTAGGCACTCAAACGTCTTTATATATATATATATATATATATATATATATATATATATATATATATATATATATATATATATATAAAAGGGTGTTTCATTAAGAAGGATCAAAGTTAGCAGTAAATAAATCAGTGTTATTGGTGTAAATGTATTTATTCCTTTACTGGATCAGGTTATTTTAGTCATAGCAATTATGTGTGAAAAATAATATCGTCCAAATGTTCGTCAAATCTGAAAGAAACACAAAAAAATCCTTAGACGCTTGATCTTAATTCACATTTAAAATCGGTCCAAGTTTTTGGAACAACACACACACACACACGCACACACACACACACACACATATATATATATATATATATATATATAGATAGATAGATAGATAGATAGATAGATAGATATAGATATATATAAATATAAAATTTGTGTATTTCGGCATCAATTTTTCTTTCATGCACATTTCATTGAATACGACAGAAAAGGTGCTTTTATTTAGTTTTTTATACAATTTCTCATGCGATCTAATAATATTTTTTCTGATGATAAATTATATAAAACTGACCGGATCTTCTTTTTATCCGAGCGCTTTCAGATATACATTTAGCCATTTTCAAGGAATAAATATTTTAACTGTTAAATAAGAAATAGTTTTTTTTTTTATTAATAAGGCTTCCATTATTTTTAGCCATTTTTATCATGTAGATAATGCTATTATTTTTGTGTTGCCAACAAGTATGTTACGAGCAGTGTCCGGTAGGTCTCCATGAATATTTAAATGAGATCTAATTGAGCATGAGAAATTGTATAAAAAAACTATCTCTCTCTCTCTCTCTCTCTCTCTCTATATATATATATATATATATATATATATATATATATATATATATATATATATATATGTCTCAAACTATACTATTTATTTCCGTGGAATGCAATCGGAAAATGTGGCATACTCTCATCACTCGTAGTTTTTTTTTACAAAATGCTAATTAGTTTATATCGATATTTGTAAATATAACGAACATAATGGGGATTTGAACTCGCCTCTCCGATTAACAATTCAGAGCCATTATCTACTACACCATCCGCACATCAAAGCATTCAACACTTGCTATTCCCAAGCGGTTACTTATCTACGTACTGACCAGACTCATATTTGGCATCCGTTTGTTTTAACATCTATGGACCCATTTAGAGCTAGCATTCTCTCTTGCCATTATTTCTGAAGATTATATTTTGAAATATCCGTGAGAATCGGTAATAAGCACAATGGGTTTTAATTGTACAGGATGCTGATCAAGAACTTCTTCCTTTCCCTTGTTGCAATTTAAAAAAAAAGATTAACATGGGGTCGATTTTATGGGTAAGCATAGATGGATTTTTCTAATCTCGCGAATAATTTTTCTCTCGCCAGCACGAGAATTGCACAAGTAGAATTATGGAGATAAAAGTTACATAGAAAATGTCATATAAGAAAATCTTATATGTCATTCTTTTTCTTCTATCTGCCGTATCTTTTCTTGTCCTTTGTAGGTCTTAATAAATGTTGTGATGTCACCGTAAGCCCCCAACTTATAGATGGACAAATGAAGTAATAATTAAACGGAAGCGTCGGATAGCGGTCGGTATGTCTTCACGACGGGAAAGTCTAAAGTGTTGATCTTCAACGTTGTTGACTGGATGAGGATCTCGAAGTATGAGTCCCGCTTGGGAATACCAGTTGCTGTAAGGTTGGGTGTGCATGTGGTGTAATTGATGAGAAATGAGAAATAGGAAAGCAGGGTCCCAATTTCAGTCGGGTTCGTTATATAAAATTACGCACAAATAACCTTGTTAAAAGTAGCAACTACCGCTTCTACCCCAGTTAAGGATTAAATAGTAGAATGTATCAGTAAATCATTATTATCCCCAAAATATTCTTACAATCAAAACTACTTTCTGGCGTTTAATTAACCTGCAAATGGTTGATAAACCGTAAAAAAATCAAATGTCCAATAAGGTACAAATAGTTACTGTTTAATTCTGCTTATAGAGAAATGGTTGGTTCTGGTCTAAACATTTAAGATGGTCACAGCTTTATACAGGAACATATGATTATAATGTTATGTGCCGTGTTCTTTCAGGATGTTGGATACATGGCTCTCCACAACTTTCTATGCTCTTAATAAATTTTGTCTTTTTGCTATGTCTCCAAAACCCTGCTCCGCCATTCATTCACTCAATCTCGTCGGGTAGGTTGTTTTTGCGTTTATCTATCTTGCCTGTCCCGTGAGTACAAAAAATTTTCCGAGTCGTCTTTCCTCACTATGGGCCTTAGAAATTTCAACTGTTTTTTTTCTGATGTTAAGCATCAGTGTCCTTTTTATTCCCATTGTCTCTAAAACTTGGTCGTTGCTCATATTCTCAGCATCCTTCTCTAGAAACACACTTCTGTTGTCTGGCGTTTCTTCTTCATCTGGGAGGAAATTGTCTAGCATTCACTGCCACATAGTTCAGTACTCTTTTCTTTGTTTCTAATGAAGGTTTTCCTGTATCTTAATACCCTGCTTAGCTTTTGGAAGGCATCTTTCGCTATATTAATTCGCTTTCGGATTTCGGTGTCGCATTTTCGATTCTCTGTCAAAACAATTCCTAGATATTTAAATTATTCCTACACCATCTGTGACCCGTTGGATCAACATTTTTGCGTTTACTGTTTACATTTAGTTTCATGAAGTGTTTGTGAAAGTAGGGATATTTTTAAAAATACATTTATTTGCAGTTATTGAAGTTGCTTTTAAACATTAAAAAATTGTGTTGGAAGAAAGTTGAACAATAAGAGCTTGGAATGTTTGGATTCTATAAAATACTGTGGTGTATTAAGAAACATAAAACCCACTGACAAACTACAAAGAGACCCGCTTCAAGACTACGGCACCACAGTTCACAGTAAGAACCATATTCTAACTGTCATTAGTATTCCCTTCACTAATAACAACGCACAACCATGCTGACTCTTTCACACAAACTACACATATAACAACATTTCATTGTTTCTCACATACACAAATAGAATTTATATTCTATTCCAGAAGTTTATTAACCAAAACAAAATGACATTACTCATTCAAATCTACAACCAATTTCTAGTATTTTGTCTTTATATGAGATTAATGTTTATTTGTGATTATTATGTTCTCTTTTTCTACTGGATTTTATTCTTTCAATGAAAATCATAGGATTATTCTAAACGGTCGAAATATTATCAGTTCCTCAACGATATTTTATATTATTATATCGAATCCCGATATTCCGAATTTTGACATTTAACAAAAACCCGGGTAGAAGAATTTCTACAATAGCCAATCTTTACATGAAAATGTGCTCTTTATCAGGATTCAAACATACGTCCCCTAGAAGGTGGGGGGGTCAAATATGAGTATCCAATAAGAATATCGTTCAAGTAATAACAATCTGTCGGATTAATAAATAAAATTGCTTCAAGACTACGGCACCACAGTTCACAGTAAGAACCAAATTCTAACTATCTCTGGTATGCTCTTTCCTACCACGTACAAACGTGCTGACTCTTTCACACAAACACACATATAACAACATTTCATTGTTTCTCACATACACAAATAGAATTTATATTCTATTCCAGAAGTTTATTAACCAAAACAAAATGACATTACTCATTCAAATCTACAACCAATTTCTAGTATTTTGTCTTTATATGAGATTAATGTTTATTTGTGATTATTATGTTCTCTTTTTCTACTGGATTTTATTCTTTCAATGAAAATCATAGGATTATTCTAAACGGTCGAAATATTATCAGTTCCTCAACGATATTTTATATTATTATATCGAATCCCGATATTCCGAATTTTGACATTTAACAAAAACCCGGGTAGAAGAATTTCTACAATAGCCAATCTTTACATGAAAATGTGCTCTTTATCAGGATTCAAACATACGTCCCCTAGAAGGTGGGGGGGTCAAATATGAGTATCCAATAAGAATATCGATCAAGTAATAACAATCTGTCGGATTAATAAATAAAATTGCTTCAAGACTACGGCACCACAGTTCACAGTAAGAACCAAATTCTAACTATCTCTGGTATGCTCTTTCCTACCACGTACAAACGTGCTGACTCTTTCACACAAACACACATATAACAACATTTCATTGTTTCTCACATACACAAATAGAATTTATATTCTATTCCAGAAGTTTATTAACAAAAACAAAAATGACATTACTCATTCAAATCTACAAACAATTTCTAGTATTTTGTCTTTATATGAGATTAATGTTTATTTGTGATTATTATGTTCTCTTTTTTCTACTGGATTTTATTCTTTCAATGAAAATCATAGGATTATTCTAAACGGTCGAAATATTATCAGTTCCTCAACGATATTTTATATTATTATATCGAATCCCGATATTCCGAATTTTGACATTTAACAAAAACCCGGGTAGAAGAATTTCTACAATAGCCAATCTTTACA